TAATAGATAGATAGATAGATAGATAGATAGATAGATAGATAGATAGATAGATAGATAGATAGATAGATAGATAGATAGATAGATAGATAGATAGATAGTTGGTTTACAAAATGTGTGACTTTTTTCTCTAAATCTATATCCATGGACGGCTGTTGTTTTGTTTGTTCCATATAAGGAGAGGGTGGCGAGGGTTTTTCATAATTGCATGAATGCACGTGATGCAAATGAATACCTACACTATCCTCAGTTACCCAAACACTCCCACCCCCCACCCCCATTTATTATATTATGATTCCCGTTTTATTATAAGGGGCTAAACGGACTGCTGAACACAGTATTTCTGCAAGTAGACTGCGGTTACGATGCGTGAAAAGTTCTGGGCCCACGTATCCCTGGAAGGGAGAGGCCAATGAATACAGGTGTTTGGCGTCATATTCTGGGACAACAAGCTTAGCAACTGAATCATAAAATATGCACTTTCAAAAGGATCTACTTTGACAAGCGTACATTCAGAACCCAAACTCTATTCGCTTGGAAAGGTTATTGCTCCGACAACAGCAATCAAGCTCCAGTACCCCACTCGGAAGAACAATGCGCATGAGGGGAATGTAATTATTTATTGCTGCATGATCGCATTCGTGAACTTCTTGCGTCAACTGTTAACCCCTATAAATTTCTACCTACAAACTTTTAAATATAAGTAAATGTGATATTTTTCATTGAAAATATCTTTGCAATAAGTCTGCTTGGCAGTTGTAGAAAACCAGACCTCCAGTTGACCGTTTCCTCTTTTGTACGTGTTTATGATATCATTCTTGGCAATTGAGATAAGCTTCAAATTCTCAGGATGTGTCATCGATCTTTAAAATCTGTTACAATAGCTTAGAACCAAAAGGATGGCAGATAATAATATAATAATATGACGTTGTTGTACCCGATGCTTCTTCAGGGTAAGCGTTCAAATATTATATCAAGTATACAAATATCTTACATTATGTTATATATTATATTATTATTTTATCGTTATATCATATCAATATATAGATATAGCAATATGCTCAATATTATGTTCATTGCATGAATATTTCTCTCGGGAACATATTGACATGTTGGTGCCCATATTTAGGATGCGGTACCTTTACAAAACGTCTAATAATTAATTTTCAAGTTGACACAATAGTAAAGTCTAGATAATCAGCTGTGATTGATTGTACGGACTGCAAAGTATACAAACTTACAAAATATATTTATCTTTATGTAGGTTATATTGATTGGTTCCTTACAGCTATCTTCTATAGCACGAATAAGGATTGGAGAGGAGGAAAGAGAGTGAGGGAAAGTGGGATGAGGGGATGGAGTGGAGTAAAGGAGTTTTATATATATA